GAGGTTGCCCTCTCCCAAGTCAGCTGTGAGAGAATTCAAAGCACCCAATATATATTAAGATTTATTTACAAGTGCTCTATTTGCATGTACACCTTTATGCCAGAAGAGGGCATCAGATATAGATGGTTGTGAGCCATCATGTGTTTTCTGGGAACTGAACTCAGGACCTCTGGAAGAGCAGTTAGTGCTCCCAACCGCTGAGCCATCCCTCCAGCCCCACATATAATCTATATATCAAAACTATACAGATACATGAAAAATCATCTTCTTGACTACTCGCAGATGTATGTGCCCAGTAGATGGAGTATTTTCATGAGATAAACGCACAAGCAGTGGGGAAACACCCAAAGCTATTCTTAGAGAAGAGATGAAGTGACTCCTGAGAGAAATCACAGACAGGAGCAACTGGTTTCCACAGCAGTAACTCCACCGCCGTGCCAGGTGGGCTCCCTATCAGAGGCCACTCAGCTGGTAGTTATCCTGCTGTATCTCTCATGGCCCCTGACAGTTCTCAAGTGAGGACCCACAGGCTCTCCAATCCCTCAGCCTTTCCTCTTTCATTCTTTCCTTCTCTGGGTCTCTTGTCCCAAGTGACAGCTGCTGGCCTGAACAGGAGCAAGTCTAAGGAGGAGCTTGGCCCAGCCTACTGCTTCCTGTCTCATTATATATGCCAGCATGTGACACACTGACATAATTACTTCAAGAGGTCCCTGCCACCAGGCACATTCTAGATGCTCTGTGGAGAATGGTTCAAAGTATCCTTTTGTACCCAGGAAGGACATCTAGGGAGCACCCTTGGCACAGGGCAGTAAAGAGAGGACCATGAAGAAGGTAAAGCAAGGGCGGAGGTCAGGCACCTCTGTGGGGCCAAGGTAGCCACGTGCAGGATACCCAGAGGAGGCTGCATGTCTGTGCCCTCCCCAGGACACGTGGGAAGAATGAGTGATTCAGGACAAATCAGCCCCAGTCAGATGATCCAAGGTGTGATTTCCAGCCCTGCCATACCTCACTGAAAAAAGGGATGGATGCTCCCCACAGATCCTGCACTCACTTTGCTGGCTGCAACAAGCCAGCAAGGAGCTAGCTCCTCAGCAAGGTCCCTGTGCCTGTCTGCAGCAGCACAGCAGGGGTTGGAGAGTCTCCCCGTCACCACAGACAAGATTCAACAAGTACAAACCTGCAAACTCTTTATTAAATTCTCCCATTTCATCTGTACAGAAAAAAATGCACATTATGTTCAGAATCTCAGTAACATCTTGAAATGACACAGCATGGACATGTAAAAACAAGGAACTGCAGGGTTTTATACATGGAAAGGAAATTCATTTACAAAAGAGGCATGTTAATTGTACTTTTCATTAAAAAAACAAAAACAAAAACCAAAAATGAAAAGCAAAAACAGGTTAGAGGCCCGAGATGTGGCACAGCACTCGCTGTGCCCTCTGTCTTCCTGCAGGGACTGCCCTGCATGCTGCTGAGTGACCGGGACCTGTTCCAGCAGAGCACTCCATGCTCTGAGGTTGGCCTGTCAGTTTGGGGTGGGAAAAGGCATGTGTCTCCTCACTAGGAAGCTCTCCGCTGCCTGGTGCTCAGTGTCTAGGTAGGAGGTGGAGAAGAGCCTGTCAGGATCCCGTCACCACCTGCCTGTGCAGACAACTGCGTCTTTGTATTTTAGGTGACAAGCAGTTCCTGAACCCCCACAGCAGTCTGTCTGCTCAGGGGAGTGTCACTTGGAGGTTTAATCTTGATTTGTCTATAACTCACTGTTATCTGAGAATTGGGTAGCAAGAAGGGAAATTTGACTTTAAACTTGATCACCGTAACAGGTGAAACTGGCCTCCTTAGTGGAGAGGCCAAGGAGGAGTGTGGCTGACAAGATGGCCAATCAAAGCTACATGGAGGGAGGAAGGTGGGGGGGTGGGCGACAGCAGGTACAGCCCTTTGGGAACTGAAACCAAGGAGGGCAAAGAAAGCCAAGAGGGCATTCTGGAGCTTTGTGTTTCCAAATTCTCAAGAAGTTGAAACACAAACTTCCAAGAGGCATGTAATTAAAAAAGGCCACCACCTGGCTGACTTCTGAGATACCAAGCCTCGTTTAAGTGGAGACTGTTTTGTCTTAGGACAAGGGAAAGAATGGGAAGGGAGGTATCTTTTCAGGAGAACTTGAGACCACATGCATGGGGAGTCCAGAAGTCACACTGATACACAGGAGTGACTGCTCTCAGGAAGGCCGAGAGCACTAACCACAAACCCCGACCTAGTGTGTCTGATAAACAGGGTATCCTCTATCAGTTGACTTCAGGAAACAGGAAGACATACATTTGGGTAATAACTTTCTGCCAACTCATCTGGGACACAGACTCTTCCTCACACATTTTTGGCCCATGCTGGCTGGCCTGGATGCTCCTATCTAAGAGCAGGAGATGGGAGGCATGGTACCTGTAATGGGCTCTGTGACTGCCTGATAGCTAAATGCCACTCCATCAGTGGCCCTGGAATGCCCCTACCTACTAAGGATGCACTGGGTCAGCACACTGACTTGATTCACAGAACCAGGGCTGGCAATGGGAGCCAGATGTTTCCTGGGAATGCAGAGGGTAAGGCTTTCTTCCCAGGGTAGAATGCTGGCACATCCTCTGACAGCAGCAAGAGCAATGCCGTCCAGGGATGTGGCCTGGAAAAATAAATGTCTTGCTTCTTGAGTGTTCCTTCACTGGGAAAAGCCCTATCAGAGAAGAAGGTTAGTGTGGTTCCTAACTTACTCTCCAGATCTCTGAACTGGCCCAGGCCTCTGATTCTTTTGAAGCAGCAAAGGGCAATGTACCAATAATAGTCCCCAAGACACTGGCATGGGCTGGCAAAGGCAGACTACAGTGACCTGGCTGCTCTGTTCACATCTTGGCCCAAACCTCCTGACTACTTCTATTCTTAGGCAATGGAAGTAGAACAGCAAAAGACAAGGCTCAGACTTTGGCTCCCACCATAGGGTTGGATTCTTGACTAGTTCATGACTATCTAATTTATACCCATGATTGACTTATGAGGCCAGGGGCTTGAGTACCCTAGAGCCCACTGCACTATGCCCAATGAGCTACAGACTGGACAGCACTGTGCCCCCTAGACATAGACTAGAAAACCTGCTCAAGATCAGGCCTAAGTCAGTTGTAAGAACTACTTCAAGGAAGGTAAACACTAATTCAAGACACTAGGAGCTATCCTTTCCATTTTGACCATATCTAATAACAAACATTTTAAGAACCTAACTCAAACTTCCAAATCTGCAGGCAGTAAGGACTCCCGCTACTGCAAAAACAGAAAGGGGCTACAGGGATCAGAGCCATGATGCTACCCTAGTCTAATGGAGAACATCAATGTGACTCTGAATCACCAAGATGTCAGGGGCATCTTCAACAATGTTTGCAGTTCTGGGTATCAGCCTCGGTGTGACAGAGACTCCTGGGGAGGGAGGGACTTTAAAGACTAGTTTAGCCAGTTAGCAGTGAGGGTGTTGCTTACAGAGCAAGGAATTTAAGTCTCATGAAACTCAAGAATCCCAAGACAGCTGCTGAGAATCAGGAAGACTCTAGAAGCAGTACTGAGAGTACCAAGTAGCTTAGCAAGCAGCTCCCCTTGGAGACTTCTATTACCCTATACAGGGACAGTCAGCTGACCCTGGAACTCACTGCCATCAGAAAAGGTAGCAAAAAAGAAAACCACAGTATTCAAATGAATGTCAGTCAGGTCAGACGAGGAGGAGGAATTTGGAGCAACTGATCTGTAACCGACACAGCTTGCATTGAACACATCTCAGGAAGACACACCGCTCAGCTGCAAATGGGAGGCAGGGGCAGAGAGGGCACTGCCAGGGGGCCTGGGTCTATGTGGACAGTTTTAGGCACATGATTTATAATACTTTGTGGACATCTAACAGGTTAATAAAATATATATTATATAAATATATCTCCTAATGTACATGCCACCCTTCTGTACAGCCACTGTCACGCCATGGCCCAAACTCAAAGGTGAGCTGCAGTGCCTGGGCTCCTCCCTCTTATGCCCTAACCCTGTCATGTTTGCACTGGAGGAGTAAGGGAAGACGGCTGAGACTCTTGCTCCAGTAAAGCTCAGATTGTGGAAAATTGACAAATCACCAAAATATAACATTTAGCCAGTGCCTGCTAGCGTGGGTACACATACCAAATGAACAGAAAGAAAAATAAAAAAACAAAAACAGAGAAAACCCTCCATCTTTTAATGCAATCACTTTCCACATCCCTTCATATAGAGGCACAAAAGAGCTTGTCTGGAAAGTCTGTCTGCCATGTACAGAAAGTCAGGCTTCACATCCGAGGTCATGCTAAATCTTTAGAAATCACCATTTCTGGCCTGTACTGTAGCTCAAAAAATGAAGTGAGACCAACACTTGTTCCTCCTTGCACTGCCACCCTCATCCTCATCTTAGAAGCCCCACACCCCAACCTAGTAACTACTTCCTGTTGAGGTAGAGAACTTCCAGGGCAACCCAGGCTCAGACATAAGCCTTAGTGCAGATCAGCGGACAGTCCTGCTTCAGACTTCTGCTCCCTCCCTAGTCCACTTGCCACTGACCTAGGGAGCTCTTGCCTCTGCACTCAAGCGGGGAGATCACAGGGATGCCTGCTGCTATGGGGCCGTGGGCAGCAGTGGCTCATCTGGGGTAGAGATGGAAGGCATCACGCTGTAGCAGAAGCAAACAGGACCCAGGGCAGGCTGCTTAGTGTCCCCACTACTTGGTGAATCCCCTGCCTTGATGTGGGACCCCAAGTTGCTTCTAGGAGAGGAACCAGACATTTCAATGATCAGGCACCGGATATGCACATCTCCTCCAAGTCCTGCTGTCTGTCACCTGCTGCATTTAAATGAAAGAAACAACCCTACTGCTCGAGTCAAGACTGAAGGAGATGGGCTACTATATACACTTTTCCTTTCTTTAAAATTTTTTTGTCTTTTTTGTTTTGTTTAAAAAAAAATCTGAGTTGCAGGTCAGGTGAGTCGGTTCTGGAAGTACTGGCAGTTCTCTTGGTAGGACAGAATTGTCTACAGGCAGGTAAACCCTTCGCCAACAAAGGCTACCACCAAAGCAGCCAGCTGCCAATGCTGCAGTGGCAGCTGGGAGGAGGACACGGCGGATGTGGCCAAGTCTGGATGGGAAGATGCAGAGGGCACCTGATGCTGCTCTACTGTGGGTGTTGGTGCCACCTCGTAGAAGGACGAAGTGAGAGGGTGCACTATACAGGAAGGCTGTACAAACTGGGCCCTGGGCAGGTAGTTCCTTTGGTGATCAGGCAGCTCTACCTGTCCTTGAGCTCTCGTGTCACACGCTTAGTGATCCGTCCACACATCAGGCCAATCAGGAACAATATGCAGATGCTCCCACTGATCACAGATAATATGTAGTTCTTTGAGGGAGATGTCATCACTTGCATGGCAAGATCAGAGAAGCCATCTGCTGGGGCCACCTGGAAGGAGACAGCAATGTCACCCTTTGAGGAATGGCTGGGTAGGTGGCAGGTTATATCTAACTTGTCCCCTGAATTCCTAGTTTAGTATGTGTGTTTTTTTTTTTTTTTGGTTTTTCGAGACAGGGGTTCTCTTGGTAGCTTTGGGGCCTATCCTGGACATCGCTCTGGAGACCAGGCTGGCCTCGAACTTACAGAGACCCCCCTGCCTCTGCCTCCCGAGTGCTGGGATTAAAGGCGTGCCCTGCCACTGCCTGGCTTTTTTTTTTTTTTTGTGAAGCAGGATCTCTCTATGTAGTTCTGGCTGTCCTGGATCTCACTGTGTAGCCTAGGCTGTCCTCTGCCTCCAAGTGTTGGGATTAATGGTGTGTGCCATTACACCTGACTTTTCTTTCTTCATTATTACTAATCTGGTTTTGTGCATGGGTGTGAGATGTGAATGTGGATGCACACATGGAGCCCAGAGGACTACTCTGTGTAGTCAGTTCACCCCTTCAACCTTTAAATAGGTTCCAGGGATTGAACTCAGGTCTTCAGGTTTGCAACACAGGCCTTTTCACCCATTGAGCCATCTTGTGCACTTAAGGAAACAACACAGCTATAACACTTTTTCTGGATCATAAAACTGCAAGTGTCCCTGCACAACCTGAGACAGACACAAAGAGGTGCCATCACCCTCAAGTGCTGCTAAAGCACTAACAACTCCTCGTGCTGCAGACACGACACCAGCCTGTGGAGGTCTCTGCATGCTTTCAAACTCACTCACTGCTCATACCAGCCCAATAGACAGATCTCATTATTCCTACATTACAATGAAGACTGCAGTCTGGGGCCTCATGACAGTCACAGGCTATAGGTTTCCAGATATATTTATGCTCTTCAATGGGTTTGATATTTGATACCCTTTTAAAAAACAAGGTAAAAAAGCTTCGAAAAGCTGAGGCCATGTTTTATGTTTTTCTTTTCTTTTTTATTGTTGGTGTTGCCAGAGGAAGGTCCAGGTTGGCCTCAAACTTGTGATGTGCTTGCCTTATTCTCTGAACACAGGGATCACATGCATGTACCACATTTTAAGTGTAATTATTACATTGTAAGTACTTTCACATCAAAAACACTGTAATCATGACTCAGAAAATCAGGCCCCAAAGGGTTCCCAAGTGCACATAAACTGTTCTTTTGAGTATTACCCTGGAAGCCTAGAAGCTCACTGAGGTCAAGAGAACCTGGGTGGCTCCTATGTTGATGACATATATTTAAGAACAGAGCAGGGGGTGTAAAATTAATTAGACTGACTAGCACACAATAAACAGTGAGTTCTTATGCCACAACTTGAGCAGCTCAAAGGAGAGGAAAACAGTAAGGGATGACTTAGTGCCTGCTGTTCCAACTAAGCAGGGCTCCACTAGCGAAGGATGGCTGTTAGAAATGATAACCGTTCCAGGTTGGACTCTGGGTAACTGAGTATGAAGAGCTTTGCAGACCTAGTCTTCTAAAAGGGAGATGGTAGCTCTGGGTTCACCAACAGTCGGGTTTTAGAGACTTAATATATTTTTGTTTTGTTTTTCTAGACAGGTTTTCACTGTATAGCCCTGGCTGTCCACAGACCAGGCTGGCCTCACACTCAGAAATCCACCTGCCTGCTAGTGCTGGGATTAAAGGAGTGCGACACCCACCTGGCCTGACTTTTGGAATATATCCACTGTTAAATTTCCATCAAAGGTAAGACCAGTTACGTATGCCACAAAGATGAGAACTGGCAGAAGAGGCTGCCATGTCAGAGGCTTTTTTGCTCTTTACCTTGGCTGCGTAACTCCACATTTCAATTCTGTCATTGAGACGCTTTTTGCACTCCGGCTGCAACCTCACTCGCTTATCTTCCAAGGCCTCCATTAGGCAGGACATCTCTGTGGGAGCAAATGAATACGAAGTTTGTAACTGTACAGAAACAATTCTGTGAAATTAGGGAGAATATTTCCACTCAGGTCATTAGGACCAACAAAGTCAAATTCTTCCTGGGAATCTTGATCAAGATTCCAATGGTGAGGAGTGTGGCTTCCAGGGTCAGCTGCTCACAATCTCTTCACACCTCTTATTTTCATTGGGTGTCCCTGGCTTAGAAACAAGCTGCCTATCAGCTGGGCTTCTGACATTAAGAAGCTGCCACAGCGCCCATTATAGACAAAGATGATGTCCAGGAGCTCTCTATATAGATCAGCCTGGCCTTCAACTCACAGAGATCTGCCTGTCTCTGGCTCCTGAGTGCTAGGATTAAACTGTGTATCACTATGCTTAGCTGTAACTTAATTTTTGATTCCCTAATAAATAACTCAAATTTCCCTTTTCAATAAATCTGTGGCTCTGGCCAGTTCAAACCTGCAAAATTAGTCCCAAATTCACTGCCACCAAGGCCTAGCTTTACCATCAAGCAGACATCCAGGAGAGGCTAAATATGGCTGGTCTATAGCTACAGTCAGAGTAGTTGCAACTGGTTACTCAAAGGCAGCCTTTGTTCCTCCCAAAGGAGTTCAGACAGGGAAAGAGCAAACAATTGTTACTTACGACGCCCTCGGCCAGGGGTGATGGCTGCACAGTGGTGTTTAATGTCCAAGGCACACGCTGTGTGAAGAACTGGGTCCACAAAAATGTCTGCCTTACTCTCCTTCAACATGTTTAACACTTCCTGAAAAGGGAAGTCCATTGCAGAAAGAGCTTTGTAGAGGAAATGTATCCGACCTGCTGGCTGTAATATGCTATAGAACATGCAAATAAGTAGGCCAAAGAGGGAAGGTGAACTAGAAACAACTCTGGGATGGGTGAACACAGCAGCATCTAGACTTCTGGCACCCAGTCTCAACTGCTATCTACCACCGAGGACACACGAGGGTCTAAAGAAAGCTAAGAATAGTGTGCTCAAGACTGGATGACAGGCAGGAGTTCTTGGCATCTGGTATGCCACATTATCTTAAAGTACCTATACATCAGTATTTTTATTGGTAAAATACTTACTCTGTTACTTTAGGAAAAATGAATGATGTGAAATTCAAAAATTAGACTGATGATTGAGAATTTTAATATACAGCCTATTAGTCTAATTTTCAAATTCCACCCCTCAATCAAGAGGCTGGAGAGATAAGGCTCAGTGGCTAAGAGCACTCGCTGCTTGTCCAGGGAACCTGAGTTTGGTTCTCAGCAGCCATGGCATCCAATGCCTCTGGCTTCCTTGGACACCGGCAATTACGTGCACATACCCACAAGCAGACAACACATAATTTAAAAAAAACATCTTAATTTCTCAACCAAATAAAAGTATGTTTTGTTTACAAAATATTCTACTTTAGCCAGGTGGTAGCACATGCCTTTAGCACTCAAGAGGCAGAGAAACGCAGATCTGGGAGTTCGAGGCCAGCCTGTCTACAAAGTGAGTTCCAGGACAGGATCCAAAGCTATACAGAGAAACCTTGTCTCAAAGTCCTACTTTACTTATGTCCTTAAAAAAAAAAAAAGATTTATCTTCATTTACTTTATATGCATGTGTGTGGGTATGTATAAATGATACCGTTAATCTCTCCCCTGAAGCTGGAATTACAGGTAATTGTGAGGAACCTGACATAGATACTGTGAAATGAACTCCAAGAAGAGCAGCAAGTGCTCTCAACCACTGAACCATTTCTTCAGCCCCACTTCTGCCCTTTTAAATTTTCTGAGTTTAAAGATGTTCTGAACAAGAGGGATATAAACCTAGTAGAATTAAAAATCAATTCCACAAGGTTGCAAAGACAGACCAGAAATGTTTGTCTCTTCTCTTACTTAAAAATTTGTTTTTGTTATGGCCTTGGCTGTCCTGGAACTCAGAGACTTCCACCTGCCTCTGCCTCTGCTTCTGGAGTCCTGGAATTAAAGGTGTGTGCTACTGTGTCCAGCTAATTTTTTTTTTTTTTAAATGGGCATTGATGTTTTGCCACAGGTGTCGAGTCCCTTGAAACTAGACTTACAGACAGTTGTGAGTCACCATGTGGGTCCTGGGAAATGAACCCAGGTCCTCTGGAAGAACAGCCAGTGCTCTTAACCTTTGAGCCATCTCTCCAGAACCAGAATTTTAAAAATTATTATATTTATTTAGTGTTTATGCTTATAGAAGTCAGAAGAAAACTCAAGAAGAATCTGTTTTTTCCTTTCACCACATGGGCTCTGGGATCAAGCTGATAGACTTGGTGGCCAGTGGTTTTCCCTTACCTGCCTTTTCTTGGCATTCTGGGTAGGGGACTGAATGTAGGTCTAGGCAAGCACTCTACTTCTGAGCTACTCCCAGGCCCAGAAATGAGTTCTTAATAAAAATTAGTTTGTTTAATAGAAAGACTATAGTTCTTTAGGACAACAACACCACCTCAAAAATCTCTCTTCAAAGCCCAAATATTGTTTTTTTTTTTTTTTTTAAATCCTTTCTACTCATACAGGATCATGTGTAGCCAAGAGAAATATATAGACTAGATTTCTTTCTTTTTATTTATTTTTTTGTTTTGTTTTATTTTTTTGAGACAGGGTCTCTCTATACAGCCCTGGCTGTTTTGGACTTGCTCTGTAGACCAGGCTAGCCTAAAACTCAAGAGATCCACCTGCTTTTGCCTCCCTGAGTGTTAGGATTAAAGATGTGTAGCACCTGGCTGGAGAGATGTCTCAGTGGTTAAGAGCAGTGACTGCTGTTCTAGAGGATCCAGGTTCAATTCCCTTCACCCACATGGCAGCCCACAACTGTCTGAAACTCCAGTCCAGAAGATCCAACACCCTTACACAGACATACATGCAGGTAAAACACCAAAGCACACAAAATAAATGAATCTTTAAAAAATAAATAAACACACACACACACACACACACACACACACACACACACGAGATTGAGAGATGGCCCAGAGGTTAAGAACACTGACTATGCTTCCAGAGGTTTGGGTTCAATTCCCAGCATCCACATGGCAGCTCACAACTGTCTGTATGTAACATCTGATACCCTCACACAGACATGAATGTAGGAGAAATACCAGTGCACACTGAAAAAACAAAACAAATGCAAGCTGGGCCTGGTGGCACATGCTTTTAATGCCAGCACTCAGGAGGCAGAGGCAGAGGGACCTCTGAGTTCAAGGCCAGTTTGGTCTACACAGTGAGTCCAGAACAGCCAGGGCTACAAAGAGAAACCATCTTGAAAAATTGGGGGAAGAAAGTATTCAAATATAAAATATAAGCCTTCCTAACCAGCACTCTATGCTGTTATCTCTTTCCAAACCATAATATGGCCTTTGACCATTAATCTATGGCTCTCTTCCAATAAATAATGGAATGGAACCAAAGGGAAAAGAGAAGAGGAGGCAGGAGACAGGCAAGGATGAGGGCGTGGCTACCTTTTTACACAGCTCTGTTCTGATCTTGAGCAGGTTAACCTTGAGGCATTCTTCCACTTGGCCCGTTTGCTCCTGGGCTGCGGCTTCTTCAGCACACAGGTTGGCAATCTGCTCAGGAGAGAAGAAAACAGGGCCACCCTACTAAGGAACAACTAGCTTCCAGAGATCAACCAAACCCGGCTAATCAGCCTTGAATATATGGTGCCTGCTGCAAACTCTGAATGGGCTTGCTCTTCACGGACAGGTGAGAGACAATGCCACTGTTTTCAGAAACCTGGGTTCCTAAACATTATCAATGTTGACTCTCTCAGACATTTGCCCAGAGTTTCTAGTGGGGTGTGCACCCCTTTCAGCTGTGCTTGATACCAGACTCCCAAGCTCTGTTCTCCTTTCAGGTTCAAAGACTGTCAATTCTTATATTTTTGGTTGTGAACCTAGCCTTTAACGGCTGAGCCATCTTTTCAGCCCAAAGACTGTCAATTCTGAAAGAGGCACAGGCAGGTGAATCTCTGTGAGTTCAAGGCCAGCCTGATCTCAGGACAGCTAGGGCTCTTACTCAGAGAAACCCAGTCTTGAAAAACAAAAACAAACAAAAACAACAACAAAGACATTTATAACTTGATGTCCATTGTATGGCATGTGACAGGCACCCACAGACTTCTCAAACATGATCTTCAGAGAAGAGAGTAAACAACTTTCTTTGGACAGTTTTGATTTGTTTGTTTGTTTTGAGACAGGGTTTCTCTGTATTGTTTTGGAGGCTGTCCTGGTACTTGCTCTGTAGACCAGGCTGGCCTCGAACTCACAGATCTGCTTGCCTCTTCTTTGGACAGTTTTTAAAGAGGAACATAAGCAGGGCTCCTCCAGTGGCCTTTTCTACCCAGGAAGACTAATAATTTCTAAGGACAGGCACTTAGAGCCATTAGGAGAGCACTTTTATTTTTCTGGCAAGTCTTGAGGGGTTCTGAATGGTCACTGAGAATAGTAAGTGAGGATCATACCACATGTGGAAGTAATAATAAAAGAATACTCTTATTGGCAGACAGGTGTGGAAACAATGTGGTAGAGTAACAAACTAATGTCAAGTCCAGTTCAGTCTTAAGCAGAAGCTGGATGTCTTACCCAGAACCGGCCTGTAAGTAAGCACAAATTAGGAACAAACTAGAGAAATAACTTTTCTCTACTGGGAAGCTCTCCTTTGCAGCCACAGCTTACCTCATCTGAACAGTGCAGCTGGAGCTGAGGGTCCAGGCGGTAATCCAGAGCAGACTCCTGGATGATGATGCGGATCTGGTCCTCACAGTCTGAGGACAGGCGCTAGAGATGACAAAGGGAAAACACATTAGCCCACCTGAGAGCATCAAGATTTTACATGAGCCCTTGCAATCCAGCTTGGGGAAGAAGGCACAGAAGGTCTTAGGACAACAGGGGAATACTGGTGAAGACCATGAGAAATGCTCACCAATACAGCTCTGTTGAGAACCCAGCAGTGTACCTGATCAGCGTATCTCAGCTTGAGGCAGGAGATGACTTGGCCTTCTAGTTCCGAATCATCCTTTGCTTTGGTCAGGATACCGTGACAGAATTTAGGAATGTCAGCTTTACAGGCTTTCCTTAGCACGGGGTTTAAACGGTAATCTAGAGTAAAAGCAAGTCAGTATAAGATAAAATGGTTCACCTATAAACTTTCACAAATTTTTGGAAATTCACCTTTCAAAAGGGGGCATATTATGTCAATAGTCATGAATATAAACACCAGTTTGTTAAGTTAGTAAATGGCAGGCAAATTATCATGCTAAGGCTGCTCTTGTTTTTAAAGGAAGGAAGATCTTCCTGCAGTTCAAGGGATATGTCCCTTCATAGCAGGGAAGGCATGGCGGCAGGCCTGCTAGTCACATATTTTGAGACATGGATTTCACAGCCCTCCTGCCTTAACCTCTCAAGTGCTGGGATTAGGTTACCACACCTACCTTTTGAAGGTTGCTAATCAGCAATGCGACTCAGTGCAAGAGCACATCACTGGTTCTCAGGATCCATCAACTCTGCAGCAGCTCTGCAGAGCTTTGTGGTCCAATATTGAAAGCAGACAACAGAACTTTGCCCACAATAGATATTTTTGAAAGCATCATGAAAGAAGTATCTAACACTCTGTCCACTAAGCTACAAGCTTTCCTAGTCAAGAGCTGAAGTTTCCCTTCTGAAAACAACTGACCATGCTCATGAACCTAATGCTGAGTCCTTCTCTATGGGTTTAAGAGCAGCTGCCCAGATTTTCAGTCCTCTTCCCCTGACCTGCAATCTAATTTTCTGGATAGTCTTCAAAGGAGGAGGGGGTATACTGCTCATATGCAGGCTCGCCTCTTCAAATCCATGAGCTATATGGCACCCATAGGTAACCACATGTCCGGCCAGTTCCACCTGGGTTACACTGAGTGGGAGCAGGAGAGCTGAGCCAAAATGGTACCTGTGTTCTGGGTGATTTGGCGCTTGGTTATCATCTGTTTGCATTTGGGATCCATCAATTCACTGTTTTTATTTTGCTTCAAACATTGTAACATGGTTTTAGAATCTGCTTCTGGACAGAACCTCTGCAAAGAAAACAAAACTATGTGAAACAGGCTATTCCAAACTAGCAGCTAATCTATCTGTAACTGCTTTTACATCTACCTGGGAGCTCATGAAAGCACAAGACAAAGACATCACTTGGCATGCGCAGGGAACAGCTAAGTATCAGTAGGTGCCCAGACCCAGGTCCCTTGTTTACTTTTTCCTAACTGCCAACATTTTTCACATTTCTTCCTGCTGATATTGGTTCCATTCTGCAGAGGTTTGTTCCTATTACTATGGCTATGGTATAGTATAGACAAGCTCACAACTGCAATTACTGTGTGAGTATGAATATAACACTGTACCAGGTACCATCCAGTCCTCAAGCCTTATCTATCCAACCACAGTGGCAGAATTTAGGAAATAACCATTAACCAATGTGAACTGGGATCTGGGGTAAGGTGGTTTACCTTAAGTGTAGGGGCTATAATCTACCAAACATGTGAGGTTATCCCCTATAAACTTATTACTGTCCTTAAATGAGAGCTCAAGTTTGGGCTGGTTAGGACACTTCACCACCAGGTCTCTCTCGCTTATTTTAGTGTTCATGCTCTCCTCCCTCCCTTCTCCCCTTTCTTTGGCATGTGCGCATATACACACACATACAAATAAACATGAAATTTTCATGGACAGTGACTGATAGGATCAGCATTGAATATTATAGGAAAGCTGAAATGCATAGTTTCATTAAAGTTTCTTTGCATTTCCTTAAGTTTAATTTATTTGCATATACAGATAGGTTAAGAACATTCACTGGAGGATTATTTGAAGAAAAAGAATATGCACCGGGTGTTGGTGGCGCACGCCTTTAATCCCAGCACTCGGGGGGTGGGGTGGGGTAGGGGGGGCAGAGGTAGGCGGATCTCTGTGAGTTCCAGGCCAGCCTGGTCTACAGAGCTAGTGCCAGGATAGGCTCCAAAGCTAAACAGAGAAACCCTGTCATGAAAAACAAACAAAAAAACCCAACAACAACAACAAAAATCTACAAGTTGGTGAATGAAGGCAATGCTACTGTACTACAGACCACAGCTGAGATAATCATTATGTTAGCTGTGTTTAACAGGATACAATGCAAAGGGGTTCATGTTGTTATTGTCACTTAGGTCACACTTGTTCCTTACCTTAATCATCTGCTTGCAGACTCGCATGAGTGTATAATCTAATTCTGGGTCCATCATCTCTGTCTCCTGAAGCTTAAATACTTTCTGGTGGCAACGGGTACTCAGCTGCTTCTTGTTTTCTTTCAGACATTCAATAATCTAGGATGTAAGAGTTATGGTTAAGTTAGGAAGACATAAATTGACAGTTATGTATGATGCTATGAATTGATAGTATGGATGATGTTAGGAAGCATATCAGGGATTGAAACTCATCTATTTGACTGTGGCACTGAGTTCAGTGAATGGAACTGTTCAGTTTCTAATTCCAGGCAATAGGAGTATGGACTTTCTCATTGAGGGGAACTATACTCATGGATTTATAACCTTAGAGGCAACAGCAGACCAAATGACAAAATTCAGGGTGACCAGCAGGAGTACTGGAATCTAAAAGGAAACCCACCTAGGCTTCCTGGTTTCTTCTGCCTTCTTGAGCCATCCTTTGTTAGGGGTTCCTCTTGGAGCACACACTTGACTACTCTAACTAGGCAGCAGGCATAGCCTAGAGACTCAATTAAACTCAACTTATGTTTTATAAGAGTAGCGTTAGATGCTAAGTATGAATTAGACCCAATCCTCTATGACAAATGACATATCAGAGGGCAAACTATGAAAAGCTATGACAGAAAAGGTTGAGTGGTACTATAAAAAGTATCATGGGACGGATTTTAAGGTAGGTGTATACTGAAGCAATCTCCTCAGTATACCAAATGTTCAGATATAAAAACACATAATCAAAGGAAGCAGATGGGAAGCAGGACCTGCCAGGGCTGCAGCGTGAATCCATGATACCTCTGAAGGACTTAAGGCACAACCCAGAACCGTCAACTAGAAAAAGCACACTGATACCTTTAAGAAATGATACATAAATGAAGGACTAAAACCTAAGGGGAAAAGCTAATAGGTCAATCAAAGGAAAAATGAGAAAATATATGTAATGTCCTAGGAACAATAAAGAAGAGAATGATAAACAAGAATCTAGAATAGGTAGTTATGAAAAGAAGCAAACAGAGATTAGAAAATGAAAAAGCCTAAACAGTGGTCTTTAAATATGAGAGAATTGAAGATAAATTAGTATTCTGGGTAGCAAAAGATGAACATTACCTCACATGCAACACAGTGACCAAGGCCAGAAAGAAAAAGGTGAAAAAGGACACTAGGGATAGACCTATCCTGTCCACAAGAATTCCACGAAAAAGGAAAAGCAAAGCAGTATCTGAAAAAACAGTGCCTAGAGGAAGACCCTGACCCTACAAGTGCCCACATGACAAAGAACAAGGTCCTGTCTGGTCTCATCCCCACTGAAATTATAGGTCATCAAACAGAAAACTCAAATCTAAAAGAAAGATTAACTACAAAAAGAGCAAAGAACTCAGACTTTGCATTGGCAACTGCAGACACAAATCAAAGACAGCATCTCAAAGGCTAAAGCACTATAGCAAGGTCCTAGGTAGCTGAGAAAGCAGATGTTAAAACAAAAAAATCATGAAGTTGGGCATGGTGGCACATGCCTTTAATCTCAGCATTTGGGAGGCAGAGAAAGGTGGATCTCTGTGAGTTTGAGGCCAGCCTGGTTTAAAGATCGAGTTCCAGGACAGCCAGGGCTACACAGAGAGACCCTGTCTTGAAAAAACCAAAAAAGAAAAGCAAGCAAGCAAGGACTAACTGTGCAGTGGAACACGGGATGGATATCAGAGGTGGAGTTACCGGAGAAGCTACACAAAAGAAATACCTAAACGAACACCAGGAATTTACTGGGCAGACGAGGCAGAGAGGGGGTACAGCTGAAGGGGGAATTACACTGACGACATTATGTCAGTTCTTGTCTCACCAGTGAGATACTGGCTGCTATAGAGAAACCTTAACTTGACTTCCGATACTTAAAGCGAAAGTGAAATGTTACCTGAGCATTTCCATATTGCACTGTAGAACAGTAGCCCCTGATGTCACTCTTGCAGGCTTCATACAAATCTGGTTCCAAACGGATGTCCTCCGTCTGCATGAGAGGAAGTTAGTGTGGGAAGTGAGGTGATTTTAAGGTAGAGATGTCAATATATATATTTTAAAGATTTACTTTTATTATTTTAAATTATATGTACTTATGTGTGCCTGCATGTGGGTAAGTACACATGAGTGCAGCTACCCGAGAAGGCCAGAGGTGTCCAGATCCCCTGGATCTGGAATTACAAACAGGCACGAAAAAAACTAAAATTAAAAACAAAACAAAAAACAAGGTGGTACACGCCTTTAAGTCTAGCACTCAGAAGGCAGAGGCAGAGGCAGGTGGATTTCTGTGAGTTCAAGGCCAGCCTGGTCTACAGAGCAAGTTCCAGGACAGCCAGGGCTACACAGAGAAACCCTGTCTTGAAAAACTAAAATTAAACAAACAAAAAACCCAAACAAACAGGCATGAGATATCTGACATGTGCTGAGAACTGATCTACTGATCTCAGGTTCTCTGGAAGAATAGCCGTGCTCTTAACCACTAAATTATCCCTCTAGCTCCCTGAAGATGGAATTTTTACAGACTTATTTGTTGACTGGATACTGTCTAGGAATGACTTCTATAGGTGGTAGCAGTGTGAAGAAGACACTAATTGTCATATGGTAAAATTTCATTTGTGACGCCATATCTCATGCTTTCCTCCAACTCCCCAGCTGTCTCAGGTGGGCCCCGTGGAGGGTAACCATGGCCTGTAAGCTGATACACCTAAATTTAAGGGAAGGAGTTTTATTTCAAGGAGAAGGGAGATTTCTCTTCTCCCCCTTTCCTGCTGGAGAGGAAAAGTGAAATAGGTAGTTCAGCTGTTTCGGGCAGCCATCCTGCAGCCAGAGGACCAGCCTCAGGATGAAACTGATGTCAAGGACAGCTCAGTGGACAGCTCTTCTGTCTTTGAAGACAGCATGGATCCAATGACTATAAACACATGGAATCTATCCCAGTTTGGCTTCTAACTGTGTGTAGTAAAAATATTCTATCATTTAAAACCAAACTCAAAACAGTAAAGAAGCAACAAATGCCATACGGAAAGATTTTCAACTGTAACTACATCTCATGCTTCACAATGGGAGCAAAACCCATCTTCTTGTTCCTGTCTCTCTGCAGCTAAGCACTGGTCCTGTGGTTTCTGGAAGCATTACCATCTCTAGCTCCTCCACACGGAGTTGCTTGCGGCACTTCAGTGACACCCGGTGTTCCTTGGCTTCCTGTAGAGTATCGTTTCGCACAGTGGTGCTCAGGCAGATCACTACATCAACCCTGCCATGGAAGGAGAAGGCATAATATGCACACTGGGAAACATACCCTGAAGGTACAGAAAAAAAACCATCTGTTCTAGTAACGACCCTCGGTCCCCCCAAGAACAACTTGTAAGATTTGGGCAGCTGTACTGTCAAAGCCCACCAGTTTCTTCATTAAGACACAATTCCCAAGGGAGCTGAGGTCTACTTATCTCCCAAAGCTCTACATCAGTGAAGCTGTGTTGTTTCTCTGCAGAGAAGCAACAATGGGATGGTGCTGGGAAGAAGCTGGCTCAGGACTCCCCACAATAGCTTCATCAGATAGGAGGGCTGAACCCAGGTGTTTTTTTTTTTTTTTTTTTTTTTTAATAAAAAGAATATTCCCACACTTCGAGGGCTTTTCTTTGAGAACATCTATGACCAAATATGGGTGAGGGAGCTGTGGCCACAATCTGTGCAAACAATGCCAGAATTTGGTTGCACTACAAAAAAGAATGGCCTCTGGACCACTACTGCTAGATAGTGGGAAGTTGCCTCATATCCTACATACTCATTCAGTGGCTGAGGGAGACTTCTGAGGCAGGACATATCAATTAAGAGATACATACTTCTTCTTTATGTTGGGACAAAGTTTTAACACATCCTCCTTGCAGGCCATTTTGAATTTGTAAGAGAATCGAAAATCCTTCATCTGTACCTAAAACATGAGAAAAAAAAATTAGCTCTGTTGCAATGAGTTACAGTGTAGCCATACAACTTCCAGAAACTGATCACAGGCTGAGGACGCAACTCAGTCCACAGAGTGCTTTGCTGGCAGCCACAATGCTCTAGGATTGATTCCTAGTATCATAGAGAAGCCAGGTGTGATGTGATGGCACATGCCTATGATACTAGCACTTGGGAGACAGATACAGCACAGGAAAATTAGAGGTTCAAGGTTATCCATGGCTACACTGCAAGTTTGAGGCCAGACTGTTTCTGAGAACTTCTGTAATCTGCTGAGATCTCATGGCTCCCCCTATGACAGCACACTGGTCCTCCTGTCCTTCAAAACACACATCTGGGCTCACTGTGTCAAAAGTGTCCTCTGGCAGATCTTCACATAGTTTACACTGCCATTTCCTCTGGAATTCTATTTTTTAGTTCAATTTCTTAGCATCTCTACTAGTAGGCCTTTCATTCCCCAACACCTGCCCTTGTTTTGTTTTTCTTCTTTGCACCACCCCAGATTTTGTAACCATGATATATACCATATCTGTTCTGGCATCTTTCTTTTACTAGAGTCTAGATTCTAGCACAGCAAGAGAGTCCATTAACATAATGGAATGCAAACATGTGGGCTACACTCTCTGAGAAGCAGTCACAACCTCAGCTGACTAACCAATCAGTCTCCCTGCACAAAGTGCTTGCTACACCAAACTTCCTTAGCTTCCTGTTACTATAAGAATATGGTCCAGCCACATTATTCAAATAGTACATCTGAGTTATATGATTTAAAAAGAATAAAAGGGGGTATGCTGTGTAGGGATTTAGTTCAGTGGAAAACTGCTTGTAAGGGAGGCCCTAGTTTCAATCTCCAGCACACAATGAGGGAAAGAAATAAAAAAAGAGCAGAGCAGAGCACAGTAGAGTAGAAGAAAGGACTCAGGGCCTAGTGTATTGACGAATATCTAGGCTAGTGCATTGAATAGTTATACAAACAACAGACTCCTGTGATATTAAGTATCACTTAATGTGAGCATTAACCAGAGCAGGAGGTGCCTGCTCTCTTGTCTCTATCCCCTCTACAATGACCATGTCTCATTTGTCATTGAATGCTAAGGAGCTGAGAAAAGTGCCTGGCCACAGTTAAGAAAAGTCACATTTATTGAGAGAAGTTTCAAATAGGGCACATAATTGGAAATAATGAGAAGAGCAGAACTGCTTGGTTGTTCCAAAGCAGGAAGATGTTCACTAATCATCGAAGCAGCCAAGACAGGAAATCAACTGACCAGCTGGAAATGAGTGACTCCAATGGCACACTTCTCATTCATGTCCTTCTGGTGTTTGTTCTGTATCAGACACTCCATCAGGTCCCCAGAATCTATCTGGTTGTCTGCCACATCCTGGGAAAGACAGTACACATTTACACTTTATTTGTAATTATTAACTATCAATCTATAGTGCCATTCATAAAAAATGTGAATAGGAGTGACTCTAGAAACCTTCAAAAAAAAATAAATACATCATAAGTTCTTCAAAAACAAGCTTGAGAAGCCAGGAAAGATAAAAATTCAGCAGAAAATGCAAGAAGCAACAACATCTACTGTGAGGACTATTACTTATTTCCTTCTATGATGCTAGCAGCAGCTTTAGGGATAATAATACCTGGCTGTCAGATCTTAAGGGTTACTCCACTCATACAATTTGGGTAAAAAGAGAGTAAGAAATAAAGTAAAAGAAGTTACTTGGCATTGAGGTATAACAAAGACAGCTAGAAAGGGAAGCTACTATCATTGCTAACAATTCCTGAGAAGCAACTTAGCTAAACCCTGGATTTTCTCTCTTGTATCTTTTCTTTTAAAACATTTTTAAATAAGTTTTATTTTTTTAAAGATTTACATATTTTATGTAATGAGTGCTCTAGCTGCACGCACACCTTTACACCAGAAAAGGGCATCAGATCCCACTATAGATGGTTATGAGTTACCACGCGGTTGCAGGGAATTGAACTCAGAACCTCTGGAAGAGCAGCCAGTGCTCTTAACCTCTGAGCCATCTCTCCAGCCCCGGTTACCTCATCTTATAAAGTCACCTCACCCACTGCTGCAAGTCACACACCTGCTCATCTGCAGGATGAGCTACTAACTGCTGGAATCAATCTCTACAATCATCAGGGCTCCCCAAGCTGTTGGCCCCTTCCTCAATCTTGTTTACAGTTGCAACTTTCACTTTGCTAAAGCTGGTTATCATTCAAGAGTAGTTATGTTAATGACAGAAGTGAACCCCACACCTTTGAGGCTCAAAGTCTCATTGAATGTGGCTCTGTTAGTAATCTGTTTCCCCCAGACATCACTTACGTGGCAAAAGTTCTGAATTATAGGCTCACAGGCTCTCATCAGCAAAGCTTCTATTTGGATATCCTGTAGAAGATAAAACAGATTAATCATTCTGCTTTATAAAAGCCAAGCATGGAGGAGGCTATACGGGGTGTGTGTGTGTGTGTGTGTGTGTGTGTGTGTGTGTGTGTGTGTGTGTGTGTGTGTGTGTGTAAATAAAACAAACAAAAAAAAACCCCAAAAACAAAGAAAGGGGAGATGAAATATTTGGCAATATTACAGCATGCAAATTCTTTGGAGTTTTTATTATCTCTGTACTTCTGAACAGTATTGTCTATACTTATGACGCTTTTTAATCTCATGTTTTGAATTTTAGCAGGTTTCAGGATATAATAGAGATAAACACATGTATTCAGTCTCTTGTGTATAAACTGGAAGTCCCAGGACTTTATTAAGCATACAAATAGTACCAAATGACCTTACTAAAAGAGCTTTAGGCATAAGAGACTATCACTGCTTAGATTGCTTTTCAATGTGATTCAGAGACCTGAAGTGCAGAAGCCATCTTTTCTCAAGTGAGAAAAGGTCTAATAACTGATAACTGAAGAAAAACCAAACAGCTAACTGCATAGATAGTTTCCTGGAGCTGTGACTGAAGGGGTCAGGACTCAGCACAATGTGCTTCTTTATAAAGTAAATAGAGAAAGATTGATTAGGTTCTTTTGGCTGACAAAGAATCTGTACTCTCAAGAGTAAGGAAACAAAAGAGCTAAGTAATAAAGACCAGGCTGCTGGCAGCACCTCTCCCCCAGGGAGCTACTTATTACTTACCTCAGACTCTAACTCGGTGAGGTTGCCCACTATATCTCTGCATTCCACAGCTAAGTCATCAAGATGATCCTGGAGGCACTCAAGCTCCTGAACATAAAAAGGCAACCCCTTGGTGTTCAATCGTGTATGCAAATAGGGGAAGGTAGGACACTGTGTCTGCCTCCTTTGTACTTGCCTCCCTTTTGAAACCACCTTACTAAACATCACAAAAGCTTTATCTGATTAAAACTAACATGTACCCTGTTACTTGATGTAACACAGTAGTTGAGAAGGCCAAGTAGTACTCTAAGCCATCCAAATTCAGAAAGCTAAAACTTACAAGTGCAACAGGAACTACCCAGGTACCTTCAAACTATAAACTTCAGCAGGCTATTAAAAAAAAAAAATTGATATGTGAAAGTGGTTTGCCTACATTCATGTGTGCCACTTGAATGCCATAGGGCAGCAGAGGCTAGAAGAGGGAGTCAGATTCCTTGGAATCGGAGTTATAGATGGTTGTAAGCTACCACATGGGTGCTGGAAATTGAATTCATATCCTCTAGAAGACAATCCAGTGCTCTTAACCGACAAGCTAGTTTCTCTAGACCCTTTAACCACAAACCAAAACCTTAAAGGGTATTTTGTCTGGGCTTTAGACACTGAGCCGATGCTGCCTTATATACAGCCTAACTATTCACTTCCTTTTAGCTGCTTAGAATTTTAAGTATAGTACCAGGTCTGTTGCTGGAGTTTCTTGTCCTGCCAGGTCCCACAGCCACTTCAGCCCCAAATAAACACATGGATGCTATATTAATTATAAAATTGTTGGCCGATGGCTAGGGCTTCTTATTGGCTAGCTCTGTCTAAACTATTAACTCATTTCTATTAATCTATGTATTTCCATATGGTCTTGGCTTACTGGAGAATGCCCAGATCTATTACTCCATTGGCACCTCTCTGCTCCTCTCCCCAGCATTCTCCTTGTCTCCTAGTCCTGCTATTGGCCAATCAGTGTTTTATTCATCAATCAAGAAGAGAAACATATATACAGAAGGATATCCCCCAACACCAGGTCACTCTCCCAAAGCTACCAAAAACTACTTCTCAGCAGAATGCTCTACTAAGAGCTCAGATTCAACATACTGACCACTCTTCCAGGAATCTGTTTTAGACTTAGAATAGGAAGACAGGAGAAGGATTGGAGGAATTACAACAGACAGAATTGGAGAGGGGATGACTCAAAGGAAATGCATCAAATTTCTGCAAGTAAGACAAACAGATAACAAGAAAAACTTTATCCATGGAATCTATTCTTAGGTTTAGTTTCACAGTAATGGGCCACAATGTAGTTGGGGTTTCTGAAAATTTACCTTATAGAATGGTGTGAAGAAAACCTTTTCTGGGATTCTATATCAACACATTTGTGTTCTTGTTATATTAGACAGAGGCAGCAGAAGGCTAAACTATACGCATTTTCTAGTCATAAACCCAATTAGAGCAGGCTCAGGAAACAAGTGATGAAAATCATATTCTTGCAGCCAATAGCCTTGGTAAATAATTATGTTATTTCTTAAAATGTCCAACTCCAGCCAAGTGGTGGTGGCTCACAACTTTAATCCCAGCACTTGGGAGGCAGAGGCAGGCAGAGCTCTGTGAGTTCTCTCATGAGTTCTTGGCCAGCCTGGGCTACAGAGCTAGTTCCAGGACTACCAGAGCTGTTACACAGGAAACCTTTCCTTGAAAAACAAAAAACAAAAACAAACAAACAAGAAAAAAAAAAAAAAAAAGAATGTCTAACTCCAACAGGACACTTTTTTGGTATGTTTCTCTATGGGACCCAGCAATTAGGGATGCTTATAGAGGCTTACATAAGGGCTTATTTACAGAAGCATGGGCAATTTATGAGTGTAAGCTCCTAGCACAGAACACTCTAAGAGCTATAACAACGTTTTTGTTTTTTTTGAGACAGGATCTTACTATATACACCAGACTGGCCTTAAACTCACAGAGATTCACCTGCCTTTGCCTCTTGAGTGCTGGTATTAAAGGTGGAGTCATGACTGGCTGCAAAAGCTATCTTTGTTATCTTGTTTCTACCTCCAAACTGTTCTGAGATTAAGGGCATGTGCTACCGCTTCTAGTTGTGTATGACTTTCAACTAAGTGGAAAATTAATACATTTCCATGCATCTTTTACAACTGTCCTAGGGTAAGCACATTATCTACTGGTGCACCCCAAAACATTTACACATATATATCACAAAACTCTCTTGCAATCACAAAAGGACTTAATGCAGCCCATAAATGTTAGAAAATAGAGTTAAAAACTAGAAAACAAGCCAGGCGTTGGTGGCCTTTAATCCAAGCACTTGGGAGGCAGAGGCAGGCGGATTTCTGTGAGTCTGAGGCCAGCCTGGTCTCCAGAGCGAGTGCCAGAGAAACCCTGCCTCGAAAAACCAAAAAAAAAAAAAAAAAAAAAAAAAAACCAAACAAACAAACAAACAAACAAAAACAAAAACAAACAAACAAAAAAACCCTAGAAAATAAAATGAGTTAAAGTGAGGAAAGAAAATGGAAATATGCTAAGGAAAATGGAATGACTAGTACAAAAAAATGCCTACCACATATACTTGTCATAGCAGGACACTCTGGCTCTAAGATTTCTTTCTTTCTAAAAATTTTTAGATTTCTTTTAGTTCAAATACATAAGTGTTTTTCCTAAATGTATATATGTGTAACATGTGCATGCCTGGGCCTTCAAAGGTCAGAAGGAGACATTGGATCCCCTGGAACTGGAGTCACAGATAGTTGTGAGCTGCCGTGTAGGTCCTAGGAATTGAACCTGGGTCCTCTGAAAGAGTAATAAGTGCTCTTAACCTCTAAGCCATCTCCCCAGTCCCCTTGGTTCTAAACATTACACAAGAGGGAAAATAATCAACTCTAATAATAAAGAAACCATAACATTAAAGCATATGAAAAATATAACTATTCTTACATAAAAGCAAAAAAGAAACAAAGAAAACTCTCTGGTGGGTTTCTTCTAGAAAGAAAACTGAAAATATAATAGATCATACAAGCAAACATTGAGATGGACTTCATGGGTACTTTACATTAAATATGAGCCACTAACATTATGATTAGAGAAAGCAAATGGAAGCTCCATCACCAACCTGCCCAGTCTCTGTTTTCTCACTACACCATTTCCCAAGGTCTATCAGGCACTTATCCTGGAGGGCAGGATCCAGCTTAACATCCATGGCACGCTGGTGTAGGATCCTTTGTACTTCAGCTCGGCATTCTCGTGAAAGCTACATAAGAATGAGCAAAAAATTTAAACACAAATAAATATATAAAGTCCCTAGACAGAACAAATCTCTTATCAGCAAACTAATAACTAGCCCTGTAGTTTACTTCCCAAACTTGATACCAAATTATATTTTCTAGGATAAGAAGTGAATGCTTTAGGGAGTTGCTGGAGGAAGTTCACAGTTCTCCAAGCAGTTATACAGTCAGCACTTTCCATTAAACTATATACATGGTGTCCTTTTCTGACAGTACCTTAAAAAAAAAAAAGTGAACTAGATCCATTCAAAGTAGGGTTTTGTTTAGCAACATTATCTTGCTACTCTCTGAGTATAGTAAAATACTAGATATGATTCAGGCAAGACTTATACATACATGGTGCACACAGGTAACAACAACATCAAATACACATCCAGGGCTGTATATTATAGGCAAATTATGGAGAATGAACAGAATACTAATACTTTTAAATGCCCATAAAAAACACATACCTGTGACAAGGACACAGATGTAATGCCTTAGTGGGTATGGGTTTCATTTTATTTTTTTAAAAAATACATCTATTTATTTACTTATTTGTTCCTGTGTATATAGCAGCTGAGCAAGTACCATGGCACATGTGTGGATCAGAAGACAACTTAATAGGCGTCTGTTCTTGCTTTTTATTACGTGGGCTATGGAGGCTGAACTCAGGGCATCAGGCTTGGCAACAAGCACATTTACCCAGAGTCAGGCCCAAGAGGTTCCCTTTTCGAGTCACACAATATCTTGACACTATTTGTGCAATACCACTGATTTTTTTCCTTTAAAGGGCTAATTTTATGTTCTGTGAATTTCGGTTCAATCCTGTAAAAGTATGTTGTAAAGTCCCACAAGGGGCATGGCGAGGTGGTTTAGTGGATAAAGGGACCTCTGCTGAGCTTGATGATCCCTGGGGCTTACACGGTGAAAGAAGAAACAAACTTCTGCAAGTTGTTCCTGGCTTCTACATGTACACCATGACAAGTGTCTGTGTATGTGAACATAAAATAAAAATGTAATAAAAAAAATCTAAAAAGTTAGCACAAGAGATTCTACTCTATCTTTATTTACAAGAGAAAGAGCCTTCTACTGTTGTGACTAGCCAGATACCAGATATGGGAACATCTGTGGCTAATGAGAAATACTATGTTTTCTGATAGAATAAAAACTAGAATAAAAGATTGGGCCAGGCTTTTAGAAATTAAAGAGTGATACTTTTTAATTGTATCTCCTGGTTCTGAATCCTAGACAGTTACACTAGGCTCAGCAGGGTACCTGTACTCAGGAATGTAAAGTTATAAAATAGCTACATTCAACCGTGTCTCAGAATGACAGTAAACAGCATATCTGTGTGGTACCAGAAGACAGCTAAGTTCGCACAAATATCTCACCAAAGGGTGGCAACTGGGGCAGGAAAATGCCAAGAAGCTGGTACTGAAGCTTGTGCTCCAACTAGTGCATTGCCAGAGAGATCTCGTTAATACAAAGCACTTGTGTTTGGCTGCCAAAGGCAGAAGTCTAGAAAACCATTTGCTAAAAGCTTCTAATGGATCTTTAAAGCTAAATAAAGTTAGAACAGCAGAATTTAATTGTCCATTTGTGATTTGTACTTTGGAAATTTAGAGAGCAAACCTGGAAATGTTTCCCCATATACTTTGTTTAAAACAAACAAACAAACAAAAAACCCAACCCACAGAAAAGAAGCTGGTGGACAATTGTACCAGAGTGATACTCACTGAATGATTATGTTTCTAGTAGGACCACACCCTCCCATCCCACCACATACATCAGAAAGGCTTACTTGTGATGACAGACACCAGAACAATAGGTAGGAAACAAATGGCATTAGGAAGAAACCAAGGCAATCGCATACCCTTCTTCCCTGTTCTTCTGTACGGTAGGCATGTCTATATAAGCAGGAAAACACAGCTCCAGGGGGCATAAGTTCACTGGTCTCATTCCAACCATGGGTATGGCAAAGGCGAGAAGCATCTCCCTGGCACTTTCGGTATAAAACAGGGTCCAACCTAGAAGGTTAAGAGTGAAAGAGAGCACTACTTCCTATATTGTCCTTCTCATACATGCTAAGAGTCTTTGCTATTGTTTGTTTTATTTTTTTCTTTCTTTCAGACAAGGTCCCATATAGCTCAGGTGGCTTTGGAGCTGCTATGTAGCTGTGGATGAACTCTTGGTTCTCCTGCCTCCACTTGCTAAACTGGGAAACGAGGCACAAGCAGCCACACTCCACTCTGAATGCTAATCATAATGACACAACAGTCATTGTATAAAAAGTTGTTAACCTTCATACAAAAGATATCTAGTTTCCCCCAAAGATGTCATTCTGAGTCTGTAAGGTACCTATTACTATAAGACTCAGCAAGCCAGGCAACAGAGTAAAACTAGGTTTGTTGTTAGCCTAGGCAATCTTTCACTATGTACTTTTTCCTAGGATGAATGCAGCGCAACTCTATCAGAGGCATTAGCTCTAATAAGATCAGGAAATGACAGGTCAAACAGTCTCCTACTCAGAATACTCAACAACAAAAATGTTCTCATCATCTTCTTATGGAAGATAAAGTAATGGATTTTTAAATTTGCTTGAAAATTGCTTATCAAATTATGTAAAGCATTTAACTTTGAATCATCTGAGGACAGTGGAACATGTATGAACCTGCTTCTTTGCTTCAGTCAGACCAAGGGATACCTAATTGTTCACATTCTATTGTCAACTGTAGGGAGCCCTATTTAATGGCAGGAGAGGATAGTATTAAGCTTTTAAGAGATTATAAAGCACATTTTTGATCACAGGAGAAAGAGTTGAGAGGAGGAGATGCCACTGTCTTAACAGCATCAAGTTACTTCAGTTCAGATGGCTTGAGGAAGCTTGGAAAAACTATCATCCAATTTCCTTTGATCTTTTCCATACCCATTTGTTTATTTGAAACAGGGTCTTGCTATGTAGTCAAGGGCAGTCTTGAACTTGCAATAGTTCTGTTTCAGTCTCATTTATATACACATGCACTCATGTGCCACAATGCCTGGCCTTCCAGACTAATCTATAAAAACCTCAAGTAACCTTTTTCCACTGACACATGTGAACAAAACATAAATTAATCATCAAAAAAGAGTAAAGACCATAGTACAGTGATTTAAGCAAGTTAAACAGGAAGCATCTGAGTATGGGAGGCAGAAGCAGCAGTAGAACCCAGTGTCAGCAGGCACTGCAGAAGGAAAAGAAAAAAAAAAAAACAGCAAGCACAGGGCTGGGAGAGGGCTCACAGGTTAAGAGCACTGACTGCTCTTCCAGAGGTCCTAAGTTAATTCCCAGCAAACACATGGTGCCTCACAACCATCTGTAATGAGATTTGGTGCCCTCTTCCGGTGTGCAAGCATATATGCAGACAGAACACTTTATACATAATAAATCAAGTGACATTAACTAAAAAAAAAAAAAAAAAACACAGAATGAAGAGGGGAAAAAAAATGAAGAGGGGAACAAAGCCAAAAACTACAGTGATTCTGTATGTAAACAGGAAGAGAGCACTCCCCTATTTCATCCTTTCTTTTTATTTTGATAACAGGATGAGAGGGGGATTAAAAAAAATCTAATTGTCATTTATGTACCATTCTCTTTTTAGAGTCAAAACTGAAGATGCTCAATGGGCGTTGGTGGCACACGCCTTTAATCCCAGCACTTGGGAGGCAGAGGTAGGCGGATTTCTGTGAGTTGAGGCTAGCCTGGTCTCCAGAGAGAGTGCCAGGACAGGCTCCAAAGTTACACAGAGAAATCCTGTCTCGAAAAACCAAACCAAACCAAAACAAAACAAAAAAACCCCCCAAAAATGAAGATGCTCTTGCTGTCTGCAGGGGTACTAGGACTTATTCTCCCAATAGATATTTGTGGTATCAGAAATGGTTTGAGTGCAACTTCCAAAGTAGTGGTGACTAGGGATGCTTGGCATCCCTACAGACTGGCAGTGGGTTGACTCTGCTTTATATACTGCTCTACAAGTAGTAAGAATAGGTTTTCTGGGGGTTGGAGATAGTTAGCTATCCTAGAATTTGAAAAGAACTTAATTTGTTACTGATTATCATAAAATATAAAAGTGGGATATGGGGACACAGCTTAGTAGAGGAGTATATACTAAGTATGAAGCTCTGGGTTTAAAAACACATGTGGGGGCTGGGCGTTGGTGGTGCACACCTTTAATCCCAGCACTTGGGAGGCAGAGGCAGGCGGATCTCTGTGAGTTCGAGGCCAGCCTGGTCTCCAGAGTGAGTGCCAGGATAGGCTCCAAAGCTACACAGAGAAACCCTGTCTCGAAAAACCAAAAACCAAACCAAACCAA